GTTCCTCTCCTCTACGGGGAACCAGCTCACCCACAGATCCTAAAAGACCTCTGCCAGCTCCAGAGGGGACAGATCCACCAACTATAGCTCTCCCACCCCACTCAGTCTCCCACTCCAGGTGTCCATCCTATGTGGATTCCCCTCTCCCCCTGTAGACCCTCAAACCGTCCCTCATCTACCACTTTGCTCCACCTGCTCCAAATCTGCCTCTTCCCAGCCCTGTCTAGCATTCCCTCTCTGAACTGGGAAAAAGCAGCAGCAATTCAACCCTATCCACCTTCACCTCCCCATAGGATTCACCACCAGCACTCCCAGTCAGACCAGAGTCACTCAATCCCTGCCCATGGGTCTCTGCTGAATTTCCATTTAGCACCTTCCCTGTCTGCTATTCCTGGGGTTTTATCTTGTCTCTTCCTCTTCTGACAGAGAGGAGCTGCTTTCCTGTTATCCCAGACCTCCGAATGCATGCTGACAGTGTCCCCCAGCATCTCCAAATCTTTGGAAATCTCACCCAGGAAGAGGAGGCAGATGCTGATCCCACACTGTTCCTCCACCTCACCTTCCTGACACGTCCAACCCCCCATCCACGTCCAACACACTGGAAGATCCCAGTTTCCCTAAGGCTGGGAACGAACTGGATTCTTCCCGCTCTCGGATACCTGGTAGTAATAGTCATCCAGGTAGGGATCAGTGCTCTGTAGCTGCATCATCTGGATCTTAGACACCCAGTCCTTTTCCCGCTGCAGCATGAGGTTAGCATAGGGATCCTTACGGATCTGCTCCTGATGGCTGCTCCGGTGGCCCCCTCGGTCCCCTCCGGAGCCGTTGAGGCTCCGGTGCTGGCTGGCAGGAGAAGAAGGGCACCCGTGAGCACACCGGAGCTACAGGAAGGGACAGAGAGGGGGGGACAGGTGACCCCGGAAGCAGGACACGTCCCTGCGCCCGGCATTCCCAATCCAAGCCCCCAGCACTCACTTCCGGCTCTGCTGCTGCCGCTGGTGCAGGAGCCGCCGGTGCTGCGGGTGCAGGTGGGTCGTGTCCGGCCGGAACATTTGCGGCCTGGGAAAAGCAGGAAGAGTCAGGGATGGGCACCAGGAGCCGGGAAGCGGCCAGGAAAGGGACGGCACCAACCTCAGGTGGGATCCGGGGCCCGGAGGGTGTGGAAGCTGCGAGGGGGGCGGAGCAGGGGGAGCCCCGAAAAAGGCATGGAACCCTCCGGCTGGAGGCATCATCTGCCCGACTCTGCCCTGGAGAAGCTTGGGATTCACGGAGGGGAGGGGGCTCCCGACCAGGCCGGACACCCGGGCAAACTGGCTGGGGGACATTCGGCCGGCCTGGCGGGGAGAGAGAGCGCCTGGAGTCAGCTGGGGGGGAATTCCCAGGGAAGAGAGCCACGGAGAGCCAAATCCTGCAGATGCCGCCCGTGGAGGGGCTGGAGAAACACAGGAAGGGGCTTTACCTGGGCTCCTCCAAGCAGCTGGGCCCTCTGCAGGTGGGTGAGAACGGGAGAGACGCTGTGGGGGAATGGGTGGCCCAGGAGGGAGGAATTCTGGGGAAAGACATGGGAAGAGGCACCCCGGTCACAGATGGGACAAGGAAGGTGAGCCAGGCAGGCCAGGCTCCAGGGAGCAGGGATGAGCTGCAGGAATGGGTCACTGGGGGATTGTAGGGGGGCAGGCTGGAAGTCAATCCCAAAAAGAGGGATGTGGAGGGGCTGGATACCGGAACGTTGCAGAGCTGGTTGGGGGACATCCTCTCTCCGTAGGGAGCAGGATAGCGCTGCTGCATGGTAGCTCGGATGTGGACAGGCTTCGGACACAAGATCTGGGAAGAGGGAAGTGGCACAGTCACTCCCCGGGAAGCATCTTGCACCCCCTGGAGCCACGGGAAACAGGGAGGTACCTGCTGGTTGAAGTTTGGGATGGCGGCCTGTTTCGGGGGGGTGCCGATGGGCACGGCCCGCACCGGGGGGCTCCCGATGATGGGGGACGAGGAGCGCCGGGGCAGTGCCCGCTCCGAGGGGTCCCGCTCCTCTTCCCGAGCCTGCGGAGGCCGCTGGGGCAGAGCGTAATCCAGCACGGACACCGATGGCATCTCCTGCCAGGGGAACACCCCCCCCCCCAGATCACACACTGGCACGGGGGGCATGAACACTGTCCCATCGCATCCCTCCTCCTGCCAGCTCCCCATTTCCCACTGTGCTTTCCTGGGATCTCCCGGGGATCCCAAAATCCCCGTCTGGGATAACAAGGTATGCAGTGGGAATTCTGTGTCACTTCCCAGCCTGGGAGTGGGTTGGTCACGCAACAGTTCAAAGCCTGCCTGTTAATTAAACCACAAGACAAAAATCTTCTGCCTCGAGGCACCAACATTCCCAAATCCTGCTGGGAGCCCTGATGTCCCTCAGATGTCACCAGGCATCACAGAGTAGCCACAACCCCTCCATCCCATCCCACCCCATCCCATCCCTCCAGCCTCCAAGGAGCAACGACTATAAGAGTGTCTACAACGAGCCACATCACATCCACCTGGATGCAGTGGCAGGAAAGCCAAACACTCCACTACCCCAGGCAGAGCTGGAAGTGCTTCCCAAGTTCATCTTATCCCACCCGCCTTGCCACCACAGGGATTTGGGGTAGGGAGAGCACTGGGGAAGCGCCCCCCACCCCTGTACCTGAGCGAGGAGAGGCCCCCGGATGCGCCGCAGCACGGCCGAGCTGTCCCAGATGCTGGAATTCAGCACTCCAGGCTGCTGGGAAGCGCATGGAGAGTCAGGACGGGGTTGCAGGATCCAGCCCCGCAGCCCCCTAGGATCCCTCAGAGCTCACCTGGGCGGGCCCCCTGGTGTGCACGGCCTGCATGATGGCCGGGTCCTCCAGATCACCCTCGATGACGAGGCGCGTGAGCCGCTCAGCCAGCGTGTCCTCGGGGTCGCCCAGCGTGTCCCCATCGCTCCCGGCTGGACCGTCTGTGTCCTGGCCCGGCATCCCCTTGTCCTCCAGCTCTGCCAGCCGCTCGTGGGCCTCCTGCCAGTCATCATCTGGGGGGACATGTGGGGACAGCAGGTGTCTGCTCACATCATGGGGATTTGGGGGCAACACATGAAGAGATTTAGGTGTCACACCAGTGGGACTTGGGGGTCACAGCAAGGGGGTCGGGAGGCCCCCCGAGGGTCTCACCAACAGCCCCGGCCCCAAAGGTGTCATCATTGAACTGGTCGATGTCCTCATCCTCCTCCCCCAGGGCCTGGAAGGTGTCCTCGTCCTCGTCCAGCGGGCAGTCCTCCAGGGACTAGCACAGCCAGTAACCACCAATGGGCTCAGCAGCGGCTCCTCATCCCAAGGGACAACCACGCCGAGGGGAAAGCCCCCTGCCCGGCCTCTTACACCTCCCCAGTGACCCCCCTAGCCTGTCATTACCCCCAGTCCCATTACACATCCCTGGTGACCCCCTAGCCCATTACACCCCCTCAGTGCCCCCCACAGCCTGTCACAGCCCCCCCCGGCCTTTATACCTCCCCAGTGACCACCCCAGCTCACTCTTTCTCTCCCGGCCCGTTATACCTCCCGGGTGTGTGTCCCCCCACCCCGTTATATCACCCAGGTGACCCCTCCCACACCCTCATACCCCACCCCCGAGCCCATTGTAACCCCCCCAGTGTCCCCCATATCACACCGCCCCACTGACCCTTCCCAGCCCGTCGTACCAACACTGACCTCCACCCCCAGCCCGTTAGATCCCCCCGGTGGCTCCACCCAGCCCGTTACACACCCTCAGAGCCCCCCACCCCCTCACAGCTCCGCCACGACCCCTCCATCCCCTCACGCCCCCTCCCCGTTACACACCGCCGCCGTCCCCCAGCCCGTTACATTCCGGTGGTGCCCCCGGCGCGGTTCTCCAACACGCCTCGTCCCCACGCCCCCCGTGCCCGCGGTGTCCCCCGGTGCCTCCCCGCTCACCGGGTACCGGAACATGGCGGCGCCGGTGCCCCCCGCCCGCAGGCCCCGCGCCGCCCCGCCAGGCCCTGCGCTCCGCCGCGCATGCGCCGCCGCGGGCGCAGCCGCATGACGTCACCCACGGCAGTGCCCCTCACGCCCCACCCCCGCGCGCGTGAGGGGGGCGCGGTCTGAGTTAACCACGCCCCCTTGTAGCTCGCGGGGTGGGGGGTGTCTTAAAGGGGATGCGTCCATTTTTGTCCTGCGCGCGGCGGTGGCTGTGTCACCCACGTGTCACCTCAGTTCGCAGGCAGTGTTTCCCAGGTGTCACCCCATGCACAGCCAGTGTCCCCCCGGATGTGTCCTCCCCCCGCCGCGAGTCCTGTCCCGTGTCCCCGGACGTGTCTCCCAGGTGTCACCTCATACGCAGGCAGTGTCCCGTGAGATGCGTCTACCCTAGCTGTGAAACCCCTGTCCATAGCCTTGTCCCCTCACCCACGTCCCCTGTCCCCAGCTGTGTCCCCTGCCACGCCCCTCGGTTGTGTCTCCTATCCGCAGCCGTGTCCTCGAGCTGTCCCCTATGCCTCACCACGTCTCCTGTCCCCAGGTGTCCCCCTGGATGTGACCCCTATCCCTCACCCGTGTCCACTCTGCCCAGTCCTGTCCCTTGTCCCCAGCAGTGTCCCCTGTCCCCAGTCACGTTCCCCAGCTGTGACCCGTATCCATAGTCGTGTCCCCCGCTGTGTCCCTAGCAATGTCCCCGTCCCCAACCATGTCGTGTCTCCAGCTGTGTCCCCCAACTGCCACCTGTATCCATAGCTGTGTCCCCAGCTATGTCCCCAGTAACGTCCCCTGTCCCCAGCTGTGTCCCTATTTCTACACATGTCCCCCCAGCTGTGTCTCCAGCCGTGTCCCCTGTCCCCAGCCGTCCTCCCGCCGCCGCCACCCGTGTCGGGGGATGACACGTCGTCGCCACCGCGTGACCCCCGTGGGGACCAACTTCCTAAGGACCTCCCAACCGGGGCCACCCCACATCCCTGCCCCACCTCTCCGTCACCTCCCGGGGTGACCAGGGGGCCACCCCAGCTGTCGCCTTCGGCGTGTCCGGTGTCCCCGCGTGTCCCAGGTGAGGGGTGGCTCCTCCCCGTCCCTCCCCTCGGCGCCTTCCCCGTGCCCGTCACTGGGGATTAGCGCAGGGACAGCCCCGGGCTCGGGGACAGGGGACAGGGCCACCCGCCACCTCGCCTGGATGTAGGAGGTCTGGCCGAGCGGTGACACCGAGGGTGACACCCCCCATCCCGGCGGTGGACGACGACGGGGACCCCCCCGCGTCCCCCCAGCCCTCGGGGGCACCATGAAGGACCGGCTGGAGCAACTCAAGGCGGTGAGAGGGGGACCCCCGGGGACAGGGGACACCTCGTGGGGTGGCTGGCATGGGAGACACGGGGATGGGGCTCGCCGGGACCCCACCCTATAATGGATGGGGGCGTCACAGGGAGGGGGGACCCCCGAGTGGGTGGGGACGTCACTAGGGAGGTGTCACTGCGGTGCCACTCCACGGTGCCTCCTCTCCACGGGGATGGGGAGCCCCAAGACCTCACCCCATAATGGATGAGGGCATCCAAAACCCAAGTCCATAGTGGATGGGGACACCATGGGACAGATGTCACCGAGGTGCCACCCCACGGTGTGTGGGGGCATCAGGAGGGTCCCCAAGACCCCGTTCCACGGTCAGTGGGAGGTCTTGAGCCCCCCAGCAATGGGGTGTCATGTGAGAGGGACTGGGGGTCAGCCCTGTGTGGTTTGGGGGTACATGGGGTATTTTAGGGTGACATCAGCCCCCCAGAGAAGTCCTGTCCCCCCCCACACCTGGGGTGCAAAGAGGGGACACCAAAACCCACCCAGACCATGGAGGGTGTGGATCCATCCCCCAGCGGGGTGGGAGTGAATTGGGGGTGCCAGCACCCCATCCTGCCCCTCACATTCCTGCCCCCATTGCTGCTTCCTCATCCCTTTTCCTGCCTGGCCTTGAGGCCCTACTTCCTCCCTTCCCCAGGGGGCTCCCCCTGCTCCCCAGCGTTGGCTCCCCATAGACCATGGGGGTCCCAGGAGCCCCCCAGGCTGCGCCCCTGGCCCCCACTGCAGCAGGGAGGCTTGGCAGGGATTTACCAGGATTATGGAGCCATCAGATAAAGCCCTCGGTGGGGGGAGCGAAGGGATTAATTTTATTTTTACTCCAGCGGGAGTGGGAGGTGCGAGGGGTGGTCCATTCCCGGGGGTCTGGCCCCCTCCCCAGGACATCCCAACAGCACCCCCAGGGGGCTGCTGGAGCTGAGGGAGGCGAGGGGAGGCGGAGGGACTGGGATTGGGAGATTTTGGGATGGGGGGAGTTGGGGGCACACGGGTGGGGAGCCAGGCATGACACCAGGGCGAGGGGCACCAACCACCTTTGTGCCCCCAGGGCTGCTCATGTGGGGCCACATTTGGGGCCACAAACCTTGTCCCAACTCCATCCCATCTCTGTTCCTGTCCCCTCCCTCCAGCTGAGCCCAACAATCCCTTAATTCCTGGCCAGATGTGAGCGGAGCCCGGCCTCCCCCCCCTCCCGCTGCAGATGTCCCTCCCTCCCCCCCACTGTGCCACCACATCCACATGGCTACTCCTCCCGTGTCCCCTGGCACCTGGGGGGTCCCCAGGGGTGCTGGTGGGGCAGGGGTCATCCCTGGGCGCTGTGTCCCACAGAAGCAGGATGCAGACGATGACGCGGAGGAGCTGGAGATCGCTGTGGACAACACGGCCTTCATGGATGAGTTCTTCTCCGAGGTGAGAGAGGGCTGGAAGCGGGACTGGGGGGCGCAGGGCTACCTCCTAACCCCCCCCAAATCCTTCCCAGATTGAGGAGACCCGGCAGAACATCGACAAGATCTCAGAGAACGTGGAGGAAGCAAAGAAGCTCTACAGCATCATCCTCTCAGCGCCCATCCCGGAGCAGAGTGAGTGTGCTGACAGTGTCCCCAAGCATCTCAAGTGCCCTCTGGGCCACAGGGAGCCTTCCTGGGGACATTCCTCACCTCCATGATCCCACAGAGACCAAAGATGACCTGGAGCAGCTGACAGCAGAGATCAAGAAAATGGCCAACAGCGTCCGGAACAAGCTGAAGAGTGAGTGGCCCTGGGGGTCCCTGTCCCCACGGCCCTGCTGGGGACACTGGGATCACGGGATCTGGCAGGGAGGAAGGTCCCTGATGGGTTGGAATCCGGCTCTTTCCAGGTATGGAGAGGAACATCGAGCAGGATGAAGCGCGATCCTCCGCCGACCTCCGGATACGCAAATCCCAGGTGAGCTCTGGGCCCTGGGAGCCACTGATGGGGCTGTCCCCATCCTGTGTCCCAGGGTCCTGAGTGCCCTGTGCCACCCTGTCCCCTGTGAGCTGGGCATGTGGCACGGCCAAGTGTCCCCAAGTGTCCTGTCTCTGTCCCCAGCAGCACCCAGTGCTCCCAGGCTTCCTGTTCCTCTGCCCTGTCCCCAGCACTCTGTCCTGTCCCCCTTGGGCTGGGACATGCCATATTCTTGGTCTCCTGTGTCTCGTGCCACTGTCCCCACTCCCAGCGCTTCCCTCCTGCCCTGTCCCAAGGCTGGGGACGTGCCATGCCCAGACTGTCACCGGTCTGACAGTGACACCCCCATCCCCCAGTCCTGTTCCCTGGGGTTGGGACATGCCACGTCTGGGGTGTCCCCATCCCCAGCACCCAGTCCTGTCCCCGGGGGGCTGGGAGGCACCGTGTCTGGGGTGTCCCCACGCCCGTGTCCCTGTCCCCGTCCCCAGCACTCAGTCCTGTCCCGCAAATTCGTGGATGTCATGACCAAGTACAATGAGGCACAGGTGGATTTCCGGGAGCGCAGCAAGGGCCGGATCCAGCGGCAGCTGGAGATCAGTGAGTGACCACCACCTGGGGGAGGGAGGGGGGAAGAATTGGGAAGAGGGGTGGAGCTATTCCCTACAGATCCTGTCCCTTTTGGGAAGTGGGTGGAGTCAGGCCATAGAGACCCCGATTTTTGGAAAAGTGTGAGGGGCCACTCCTTACAGACCACACCCCAAAAGACCCACCCTTTTGGTAAAGTGGGTGGAGCCAGGCCCTACAAATCCCTCCTCTTCAGCAAAGTGGGGGCTGTCAGGCCCCTGAAGACCCCACTCCTTCGGTAAAGTGGATGGGACCAGAGCAAAGAGACCCCACTCCTCCGGTGAATAGGGTGGGGCCATTCACACAAGCCCCACCCCTTTAGGGTAGTGGGTGGAGCCAGGCCCTAAGTCACCCATCCTTTTGGTGATGTGGGTGGAACCAGCCCCACACAGACCCCGCCCATTACCCCACACGGGCGTGGCCTGGTCCCACCCCTTCCCACCTTCCCGCAGCCGGCAAGAACACGACGGACGAGGAGCTGGAGGAGATGCTGGAGAGCGGGAACCCCTCCATCTTCACCTCGGGGGTGAGCTGAGGGACACTAGGGGACACGGAGGGTCTCGGGGGGGGTGACAGTGCCAGGTTCCCCTCCGCTGACACCTCCCTGCCCCTCGATGCAGATCATGGACTCGCAGATCTCGAAGCAGGCACTGAGTGAGATCGAGGGGCGGCACAAGGACATCGTGCGCCTGGAGAGCAGCATCAAGGAGCTCCACGACATGTTCGTGGACATCGCCATGCTCGTGGAGAACCAGGTACGGAGGCACAGCCACGGGCACAGGGGGCATGGCCACCTGCAGGGACCAGGGGACACAGGAACCAGCAGGGACCTGGGCATGGGATCAGTGGGGACCAGCAGGGACCCTCACGTGGGGACAAGCAAGGAGTTGTGCAAAGGGATGGGCAGGGACACATGGGGGACTCACGGGGTCACAGGGACAAGCAAGGGAGGAGCCTGTGTACGGGGTTAACAGGGCTGAGCAGGGACCTGGGCATGGGGTCACAGGGACGAGTCTGTGGGGTCACAGGGACAAGGCAGGGACCTGGGCATGGGGTCATGGGGACGAGCAGGGACCTGTGTATGGGGACAAGCAGGGACCTGGGCTTGTGGTGACAGGGACAAGCAGGGACCTGGGCATGGGGATGAGCAGGAACAAACAGGGACCACCAGGGCAGGTGTGCAAGGCGGCTGGGTGCCAGCACCCCTGGGTGCTCTCTCTGTCCCCTCCCCACCGGTGCTCCATAGGGATCCATGATTGACCGCATCGAGAACAATATGGATCAGTCTGTGGGGTTTGTGGAGAGGGCTGTGGCTGACACCAAAAAGGCTGTGAAGTACCAAAGCGAGGCCAGGAGGGTGAGAAGGACCGACAGCTCCAGTGTCCCCCACTGTCCCCTCCATTGCCTGCAGTGTCCCCAAGGCACCCCCAGTGTCCCCCTCTGGCCCTCAGTGTGCCTGCACATCTCCCAGTGTTCCCAGCATCTCCCCATATCCTCCAGCAGCCCTGAGACCTCCCCTGTGTCCCCCCCAGCCACCTCTTGTCCCTCCAAGCCACCCCTTGTCCCTGCCAGCCACTCTCGTGTCCCCCAGTCACCTCTTGTCTCCCCATGACACCCCCAGTAGTCCCCCAGCTGTCCCCAACGACTCCCACCTCCCCCAGAGACCCCAGCTGGTCCCCACTCACCCTTTGTCATCTCCATGGGGCATTGGAAGCTCTGTCCCTCTCTGTCCTCCCCTCAGGTGTGACAAGCTGGGGAGGGCTCTGCAGCATCTCTGGCTCTTCAGGGCCCCTTGGTGCCCCCCTCTGGTGTCCACCCCCCATGGCATAGGTGTCACCATCCCCGTGTCCCCCCTGTTCCCCCCAGAAGCTGCTGGTTTTGGTGGTGGTGGCCGTGATCCTGTTGGGGATAGTCGCCCTCGTCATCGGACTCTCAGTGGGGCTGCCCATGAAATAGCCCCCAGGGGGGTCTGTAAGTGCTGGGAGGCAGGGGACCCCCCCTGTGGGGACACAGAGCCCCAAGGGCAGCAGGGACTGCTGGCGTGGTCCTACTGTCAGCTCCTGCTCGGGGGGCTCTGGTGCTTTGGGCTTTAGGGCTGTCATGGGGCTGGGGGTGGGCTCTGGGTGGTCTTGGGTCTGTGGTGCTCTGGGACACTGCATTCCCTGGGAGTCTGCAGCACTTGGGGGTCTGCTGTGCTTGTGGTCTGTGGTGCTTGGGGGTCTTTGTTTCTTGGGGGCCTGAAGCACTCACGGGTCTTTGGAACTCGGCTGTCCTTGTTGCTGGGGGGGTCTGTGCTGTTTGGGGGTCTGCAGCACTCAGGGGTCCCTGTTGCTTGGCCCTGGGGGGCTGGGGGCTCTGGGGGTTGGCTCTGCGTTCCCCACATTTCTCTCTCTGTCCCCGCCCCTCCCACCCACAGGTTGCTGCTGCAACCCCTCGTTCCCTTCCAGCCTCTCCATCTGGGAGCTGACACCCTGCCTCTCCCTCCTCCAGATGCTTCCGACCATCCCAGCAGTGTCACCTCCCACCTGGATCCTCCCCGGGACCGATCCCGCCTGCTTCCCTCCCTGCATTTCCTGGACCTGCTCCCTCACCCTCCGTGTCTCGTTTCCCAACGCTGGTTCCGGCTCTCCATGGAGTGTCCTGTCTCACTTCCCTGCCAACCCCTGGGATCTTCCCCATGGGAAGGGGAGGGGACACCACAGGGATGTGGCCGCTGGTGCCAGCGCAGGGTGACAAGGAGATGGATCCGAGGGCTGGATGCTTGTCCTGGTGGCACGAGGGATGGGAATAGGGACAGTGGCTGGCGCCGCGGCAATCGTGGATATTTAGTTCCCTATTCCAATAAAATCCCCGCTGGTCCCTGCCCTGTGACTCCTCTCCCTGCTGTCACCCCTCACAGCCCAGCCCCGGGGGGTGGCCGGGGGTCTGGAGGCTGTGACAGCCCCGTTTTTGTAGATGAGGGGGTTGTGGGGCTGGGGACACCCCAAACCCCCCGGGCTCTGCCTGGAGTGTCCCCCCAGCCCAAGTGTTTGGGTAAGTCAGTTTGGTCACCTGTGCCAGAGGGACACATCAGCACTGTCACCTCCCCGCGCTACATACAAGCAGCTCATCCCTGCCCTGCCACCTCCCCTGTCCCCTCCCAGCCTGTCCTTGTCCTTTATCTCCCTCCCCAGCCCCATCCCTACTACCTGTCCCCAGCCCCCCTTCCCCAACCCTGTCCCTTGTCCTCTGTCTCCCTCCCCAGCCCCATCCTTGTCCCTTGACTCCCCTGCCTGGCCTGTCCTTGACCTGACCCCCTTCCCCATTCCCTGTCCCTTATCCCCCTGCCCATCCCTGTCCCTGTCCCCTCCTGTGTTCCCCCGTGTCCTTGGCTCACATTCCCTGTCTCCCTGAGCAGAAGAAGATCATGATCATGTTGTGCTGCATCATCCTGGCCATCATCCTGGCCGCCAGCATCGGGAGCATCTTCGCCTGAGCCCCCCTCCCGCTACCCTCCAGGTGACAGGGACAGGGACAGAGGGTGGCACAGGGGGTTCCTGCCTTCCTCAATCCTGGGGGGCTCCTTTGGGCCCTGGGGGGGTTTGATCCAGGTGGGATTCACCCCCTTGGGTGTCAGGGAGGGATTGGGAGCCACGTCTGTTTCCTTGGCGTCACCTCTTGTCCTTGTCACAGGTGGCCTTTCCCCCTCCTGTCCCCCGAGCGGATGATCCACGGGACAGACCCCAGCCTGCCAAGCCCCTGGTCCCTGGAGCCCTGAGGACACCCCGACACGTCCCTGGAGGAGTGGAGCCCCCCCTGCCGTGCTCCCCCAATTCCCAGCTCCTCATTCTGCTCTCCTCGGGTGATGGCCGGTGGCACAGAGTGGCCAGAGGGGCTGTGTCCCTCTCCGGAGGGGGACACGGGGCTCTACCTTGCTGGGATGGCCGGAGGAGCCTCTTCCCTGCGCTCAGAGCTCCTTGGATGTGCAGCCACCCACGCCAGAGCCTTCCTCCTCAATAAAGAGCTCACCCACATTCTGCCTCATGCCTCAAATCCCACTCCAGTTATCCCCCAGGATGCTCCCACCTCCATGTTTCCATCTCCAAAACCCGATTGAGCACAAAGAGCCTCATACCTCAAACCCTGATCCATTTATTCCCCGGGATGCTCCCAACTCCCGGTTTCCAGCTCCATAACCCACCTCAGGGCAGAGCCCATCCATCCTTTGCCTTGTGCCTCAAACCCTGATCCATGGATCCCCCAGGACGCTCCCAGCTCCACAACCCGCTCCACGTATCCCACCGGGATGCTCCCAGCAACGGGTTCCCACCTCCGAGCGTCCCTGTAGGCTCCGGCGCGCCGGTTCAATCCCACGGGAATGCCATCCATGCCCCTCAGACCCGGTGCTTGAGGAAGAACTTGCCCCAGTAGCGGCCATGGAGCCGCAGGTCGTAGGGGCTCAGGTACTTCCTCATGCCCAGCATGTTGGCGGTGACGACACGCTCGAAAGTCCAGGGGTTCTGGTTGTTGAGCCTCTTCTCCTCCTCCTCCCGCCGCATCTCCTGGAGGCTCTCCTGGCTCACGGGTACGGCTGGGAAGGGCAGTTTTTGGGCCACCTGGGCGAGGAAGGGCCGCACCTGGCCGAAGTGGCAGCGACCGCCCACCTCCACCACGAGCCTCCCGCTGCGCACGGCCGTCACGTAGCGGTCGATGGGGCCCTTGCCGCCCCCCATGCGGTGCCCCAGGCTCTTCCGCGTCACCGGCTTGGACGGGGCAGGGACGCGCCACACGGCGAACATGGACTTGGGGTCGATGTGGCGCCCGATGGTCAGCCGGATCATCTCCAGGTGGCCCCAGTGCAGGTACCCCCCGCCCAGAGCCTGGGGGGAACAGGGAGAGCCCGGGGTGGGAGGGATAACTCGGGATGACAAGGTCCCACGTCCTGCTCCAATTCCAGCCTCTGGAATTCCGCCCCCCCCGGCTCCGTTCGGCACTCACCAGGATCCCATACTGCCCCTGGATGAAGTCGGTGGCCTCCCGGGACGGCCCGCGGATATCACGGAGCCTCCGCGGCTCCCGCCGAACCTTGGGCACCGCCGGCACCTTTTCCAAGAACTTCAGCTTCGGTTTCTCCGGGAAGGTGATTCCTGCCGGGATAACACCGCGGTGAGGATCCCCCCGGAGAGGCCGCGAGTAAGAGCCTCGCGCCTTCCATCGCCCCGCACTCACCACTGTAATCCGGCGGCAGCACCAACTTCTTGAGCCCCGCGCGGGGCGCCGCGACTCCGCCGGGACCTGCGGGGCAGAGCGGGGGGAGCGGGTCACGGCGGGGCCCGGTGCCCTTCACGGTGCCCTCAGCCTAACGGAGGGGGGGCCCAGTGTCACCCCTTCCACGCCCCGGCCACTCAAGCACCCCCCGAGCAGCCGGGGGTCCCCTGGGAACACGGCCCGAGCCCCCCAGACCTGGCCCGGCCCGGAGCAGCGCCGGGAGCCGCCATCGCCACATCGCCGGAAGTGCCGCACGGGCATCGCCACCGCTCAGTCCTCAAACTCGCCCCCCGCACCGCTGCCCGGCTGGGAAACGCGCCCGTGATATTAGTTCCGCGGCATCCCAGTTCCCGCCGCGCCTACTGGGAAGGGGTCACCGACCTTGGGATTCTCCTCCGGCGGGTCCCGGAGTCCCTCAGTGGCCTCAGGAGGTGCTGGAAGTGGCTTTCAGTCTTTGTGCTGGGTGACAAACTGGTTTTGTTGGGATAATAAAAGCCTGTACTGGTTTGACTGGGATAAGGTTCCATTTTTTTCCTGGTAGCTGGGTCTGGATTCAGGAACTCAGGATGCAAATGCTATGGACCACACAGGGATGGTTTGGTGGTTGCCGAGCCGGTCTTGCCCTCCTCAAGGACTCTGCGGTGTCCCATTGGACGATCCATGTTTTCCATGATAATCCATGTTTTCCAGGAGGTGACACCATCATCCTCATCATCTCTGTGTCTTGCTTGGCTGAGAATCTTCCACCTCCTCTGCTCCACAGGGGCCTCCATTGCCCACCAGGAGCCCTGGGGCTGTGACATCACATGGGGCTGTGACATCACCACGCTGTCGCTGGGTAACTGTGGGAGCCACCACCCCCCAGAGCTCCCAGTGTGATCCCAATAGGATTGGGGGAGCCATGAGCCGTGCCTTGCTGGGCTCCCGGAGCAGCCCAGTGGCTCCAGCAGCTCCCAGTTCCCCCACAGCTCCTGCTTTTCCAGAGGCTCCCATGAGCTCCATCCCGTGCAGATGCGGCCCCAGCTGCTCCCCCTGCGCCATAGCAGCCCAGGAGCTGCAGGATCTGCTGGTGTCTGTGTGTGCTGGGAACGGGAGGTCCTTCCCAATGGTCTCCCTGGCGTGGCAGGTGCTGTGGGAAGACCTGGAGAAGCTGGTGGAGCGAGGACACCTCTACTGCTGCCTCGGTGATTCCTGCTGGATTCCAGATGGGAAAGACCTCATGGACAGCTCTCTCTGCTCCCTGGGAGACGTGGGAATGAGCAGGGCCAGCTCATCCCTGAGGGTGCACGTGGCCAGGAAAAGCCTGGAAGTCAAAATGGGAGCCTGGCCCGTCCCAGTGGTGCGCTCCCAGGAGCAGGTGGAACGGCAGGAAGGGTCATCCCAGCCTCCTGGGAGCCTCCGTTCCTCTGGAAGCCTCACCTGCTCCCAAGAGCAGGTGGAACGGCAGGAAGGGTCACCCCAGCCCTCGGAGAGCCTCCATTCCTCTGGAAGCCTCACTCCTTCTGAAGGCCTCCCCCTCTCCAAGAGCCTCAGCGATTCCTGGCGGACTCCAGATGGAGAAGACTCTGTGGACAGCTCTCCTTGCTCCCTCGGAGCCGTGGGGATCAGCAGGACACGCTCGTCCCTGAGGATGCATGTGGCCAGGAAAAACCTCGAAGTCAAACTGGGAGCCCAGCCCACTCCAGTGAAGAGTTCCCAGGAGGAAGTGGCACAGCAGGAAGAGTCCTGGAGCCACCGGCGCCCAATCCAAGGATCCTGGGATGCTGCAGTGGTGCCAACCGGGAACACCCCAGGCTCGGTGTCGGAGAAGATCCTCCAGCAGCAAAGGGAGCTGGAATTCCCCCATCTCCAAGGAGCTTTCCCAAGCTGGCTGTCAAATTTCAGGCAGAAGTTTCTCTTGGCAGTTCAGATACTCCTGCAGATCCTCTGTTTGAAATAAATAAGGATTTTCACAAAAGAGCTGCCTGAGGTTTATTGGGATAGGGTTCCTTCCTTTCCCAGTAGCTGGGTTTGGATTCAGGATGGGAATGCTGTGGTTTGGTTTCCCTCCTCAGGCACTTTCCAGTGTCCCATGGGACAATCCATGCTTTCCACTGGGAAAGGCAGGATAAGCTCCCTGTCCAGCCAGGCTCAAATCCTGACCCTGGACAGGGCTCAGTAGGTGCCAGGGAATGGGGGGAACAGAAACCAGTCACTGCACTGGGAGCCCAACTGGGAGCTGCTGGGGAATCCAACTGGGAGCTGCTGGTTGGCTCCACCTTCTCCACTGCCCCCCCAGGCAAGGATAGGGAGTGGGAGCAAGGGCAGGGCTGGAATAGAGACAGGGATGGGGACCAGGAGTGGTGGAAGGAGCAAGGCTGGACTGAGGACAACTGCCCAAGCCCCTTGGTTTTCCCTGGAAGGAGGAGACTCTGGAAACAAGCCCCACTGTGTCCAGGGGGCGTGGGAATACCCAGCTTCCCACTGGAGACCTGTGGCCACCACCCCTTCCACAGGGGTTAAAGCCACCAGTGTGGGTCACCCCTCCATCTCTGTTATCCCAATGGATGCTCCCAGGGGAAGGTGGTTTGTGGTAATCCTTGCAGCCACAGCCTGGGCTCAGCATGGCCTGGGTAAGGGGCTGTTTGGGGGTCTGGGGAGGGGGACAGGGTGGGTCCCCCTGCCCTGGGCAGGGTGAGGAGGGCCATGGCCTCAGTGCCTGCAGCTGCATCCTAAAGGATCACTGTGGGTATTTGAGCTCCAGCTGAGCCTCAAGCTCATCCTGCTGGATCCTGGGGTTCCCAAATCCCTGTCTCATTCCTCCTCCTGCTCACCTGCCAGTCTCTGTCACGTGTGGCCCCTCGTGGCTCTCAGTGATGGTCCCGGTCTGTCTGCTGGGGGGCCGTGCGGCCGGTGGGGAGCTAATCCTGGGCTCTGGATGTGGAGTGACCAGTGCTGACAGGGATGGATTCCAGCTGGAGCACCCACTCCTGGGCTGTGGGACCACCCTGGAGGTGAGGAGCGGGAACACATGTCCCTGATGGAAACTGGAGTGAGGTGGGAATGAGGGGACCCTGCCAGGGCCTGGGGCTGGGAAGGAAACCAGGTGGGACCAGCGCAGAGGGTCCCCCCGAACCCCCATCCTGGCCATTCTGAGAGCACTGCTGGGTGAGGGCTCACCTGAAACCTGGCCTGGGCATTTCTGGGTGCCAGGGTGAGGGTGAAACCCCCAGCCCCAAATCCCCCCAAACCCCCTCCTTCCCACAGCTCCTCCCAAGCAGAATCTGCTACAGGAACATCCTCCACTACCACCCCTCATCCATGGGGCTTGTGGCTCGTGCCAGACCCTTCTCCCTGCCTGTGGAGTGTAATTACCCCAGGTGAGTGGGGAAAATCCCCCCAGGAGCCCAGGATTCCCCAGTGGAAACCCCTGGGAGCCAGGGCTCCGAGTCCCACGCGAGTCCACCATGGGATCCATCCATGAGGGATTTTGGAGGGAGTGTGTGGGGTCGTCTGTATCAGGATGGGGTGCATGGGTGCCCCCCCTGCCCTCACTCAAGGATCCTCTGTGGCACAGGACAGGCAACATTTCATCCATGCCCATCTGTCCCACCTGGATCCCCTTTGGCTCCACCGTGGTCCACTGGAGGCGGCCACGCTTCGCCCTGGCTGTGTTTGACAGTGAGTACAGGAGCCCTGGACCCCCTCACCCCACAAGGCAGGACCCCCTGTGACCCTCAGGGCACCCCCCTCCAGGCTCCTGGTCCTCCCACCTATCCCACTCCTCCTATTCCCTGGGGGAGTTGATCAACGTGCAGGCGTCCCTGGGCACCGACCCCCGAGAGCCCCTGAGGGTGTTTGTGGACAAGTGTGTGGCCATTCCAAGCCTTTCCAAACAGCCAGAATTCTGTGTCATTGCTGACAACGGGTGAGCTTCGCGGCTGGAATGGGGTGGGGGGACTGGTCCCCCTTCCTGGGATGCTCTGGGGGGATGGCAGTGCCCAGCTCGCCCCGTGTCCCACCTGGCAGGTGCCTCCTGGATGGGCAGCTCGGCCGCTCCCGTTTCCTCCCGCGGCATGGAAACCACTCCCTCCGCTTCCAGCTGGACACCCTCCTCTTCCCAAACCTCTCCGGCAGCCAGGTCTGAACCCCTTCCAGAGCCTGGCGGAGAATCCACGAGGATGTTTGCCCCGGCAGACCTCCCTCCGCTGCCACCTAAAGGCTGTGGCTCCAGGGGCTGGAAGTGCCTCTGGAAAAGCCTGTTCCAACTACCGGGAGGCATCTGCCTGGCATTCCCTGGATGCTGGATTCACGGGATTGGACTGCTCATGCTGCGGGTCCCCAGAAGGCTGCGGGGGGCGGCGTCGGCGGCGTCTGGTTGGTGGAGGTCAGATGATCCCGCTGTTGGTGGGATCCCTGAGCCCTGCAGGGGTGATTCTGGTGCCTGATGGATCCTTCATCCTTGCAGGGCTCCTGGGAGAAGCTGGTGTCAACCTGGGGCTGCTCTCGGCTCGTCCCAGCCCAGCCCCCCCGGAGCCCACCCCGGCACCCCCTCACAGCCCCCTGGTGACAGAAGGGGACCAGAGGGACTCATGTGGGTGCGAACCCCCCGTAGATCGGGGGGGGGGGGGCTGGGCTGGGCGGCCCCGCTGTCCCCTCACCGCCGCCTGTCCCTGCAGGGCTGGCTGTCCCCGGCTCCCTGGTGGCCTTGGTGGCCATGTGCTCCGTCCTGGTGGCCGTCGGCACCGTCGGCCGCTACTGCTCCGTGCGGAGGTGCCGCACTGGGAACGGGGAGCGGGGCCTGGGAGGGTCCTGGGGTACCCCCTGGGTAGCCCCAGGCGGTGGCCGGGGTGGGCTCCGGGAACCCTCCTGCTCCTGCCGAGCCTGTCATTGCCTGAGCATCCTTGTTTTGGGAATAATAAACATGTGGAATTGTCTGAGGTGGCTGCGGATTCTGCAGACACCCCGGTGGGTGCTCAGGGGGAGGGGGTGGGAGCTGTGACACATCACCAGTGCCACTGTGTGTAATAGTTAATAAAAGCCAAGGTGGATAATTTGCTAATCAAATTATATTTAATTAAATAAGTGATTGAGTTTAACAAAGTAAGTTACAATGGGTCTATGGGTCTGTATGTTATGTCTTGTCATTTTATGACTTACAGGGAGGCAGGGAGCCAAAGAAGAGGACTTAGCCCTCTGAAAATTTCCAGACAGCAGATACTGAGGACTATAGTCTAACCAAAACATTGGCTGGGTTCAGGCGGCAAGAGGAGCCCGTGAAAAGAAAAGAAACCAAAAAAAAGACTTAAGGCGTGGAGATAAAGGGGGTATAAAAAGTGGAGTGTGAGCTTGCCTCGGGGCAGACCGTTGGTGGAACAGGATTTTCCTCCGGTCTCCCAGCGCGCTGTTTTGCTTATTTGCTTTTAATAAATTTCTACTATATTTTAAAAATATATCTGGTCTTTTGACTATAACACTGTGGATCCCCAAAAAGTCCCACTGGGCTCCCTGGGGTGCTCTGGCAGGTGCTGGGAGCTGTGGGATAATCTAGGGAGAAGGGCAGGGTTGGGGTTGCTCATGGGCACCTTAGCTCTGGGATGGGGGGGATAGGGGGGATAGGAATATGGGCACTGCTCCCCAATTCCCAAAGTTGCTTGGCCACGGTGGGGCAGGTCCCTGGCCTTGGAAGGACATGGATCAGAGGGCCTTTGTGCCACTTTCTCACCTGGGGGACACGAGCTGTGCCTGTCACTATGGAGTCCTGGGTGCAGTGATTTTGGGATACAGGGCAGTATCTTGTACCCCCTTCACTCCCTGGTCATTAATTCTTGGATTTGGGGTTTAATCCCCTCCCTGGGGCTCCTAGCTCCTTCTCAGGACTGGACACCATAAAAAGGGGGGGAAGCCCCCTGGGGGTAAAGCCAGGGCATGAGGCAGTGGCTGGGATGATTGTGGGGGGGTCCCATCTCCCCTTCCCTCTTGCTCCAGGGAGCAAATCCAAGGCGGATACTCCAGACCATCCCTGCCTGGGGAAGGGGTGCCAAGGAGATTCAGAGGGAATCGTGCCTGGGCAGTGCCCCGTGTTCCCCGCAGCTCCACCTTGTCCCATCCCTCCCCCTTCCCCCAACTCACCCGCTCCGCCGGGAGGAGTCGCAGGAGCCTAATGGCCCTTGATGGATTTTTTTTCCAGGAATTCGCGGCGGGGCTTTTTTTTCTTTCTCTCGTTTTATATTTTTTTCCCCTTTCTTTCTGAGCTCCTGTAAACACGGCCTGGAGCTGGAAGGGGCGGGAGAGGCGGGGGGACACTTAGGGGGGGTTTCGATGGGTTCTGTGCCCCCGGAATCCTCTTTTCCTTCTCTCCCTTGGGTTGGGGATGAGCATCTTTCCCTTGGGGGGCTGCGGTGCCCCGGAGATCTGCCCAGAATGGGGGGAGGGCAACAGTGGGCATGGCCCCACGGAGCATCTCCCGCCTGCCCCACGCCGCCGGGGGACCCCACAAAGCATCTCCCCTCACCCCACACAGCCGGGGTCTCCCACGGAGCATCTTCCCTGCCCCATGGAACATCTCCCCCCACTCCACGCAGCCAGGATGCTCCACTTTCTGCCCCCCTTTTACGGGGTGATTTTGGGGGGGGTAGGGGGGTTTGGGTTGGGCGGTGCCCGGGGGTGTGATGCACCGCTGACGTCACGGCACTCGGCCAATGGGCGGTGGGCGGGGCGGGCTGTGGTGGGCGGGGCGGGTTGTGGCGGGGGCGGCCCCGGTGGGAGCGGGGCTGCTCTGGGGTCCCGGTGCCCCCCGATCTCTCCATGCAGGGCATGGGGAGCCTCAGGATGGGCAACCGCGCCGTCATGTACACGGCGGAGACCCTCCCCAAGGGCAAGAATCGCGTCATGGGGGTGAGCTCTGGGGGGGGCAGAGGGAGGCTTGGGATGGGGAACCCCTGGAAAATCTCCACTCACCTCGTTCCTGGCGGATTCCCATCCTTCCCGCTGATCCCTCAGGGGACGCTGTGGGAATCAAGGCGCCCCCACGGCCGGTGCGGCACTGGAAGCGGGGGTGGTGGTGGTGGTGAGTTGACCTCATTCCCGCCCATCTCGGTCCTCCAGACCATCCAGATCATGACAGGATTCCTGCACATCGGCTTCGGGATCGTGCTGACCACGCTCACCAACCTCTACACCTCCGTGTTCGTCATCGGGGAGATCCCGTTCCTGGGCGGCGTGTCGGTGAGCGCAGGGGAGAGGGAAGAGAATCCTGCCGGGAAGGGATCCCGCAGGGCAGGGATGTCCGCCAGGAAAGGATGCCCAGAGGGGAAGGAGTGCCCACCTTCCGGCAGGGGTAGCCTCTGGAAAAGTTTGCCCACTGAGGAATGATGCCCCCAGGGAAAGAATCCCACCAGGGAAGGGAACCCCAGCAGGGAGTGATGCCCACAGGGAATGGGAATCCTGCCAGACAGGGATACCTACCAGGAAAGATGCCCACCAGGAATGATGCCCACTAGGAAGGGAATTCCACCAGGGAAGGATGGGTACCATGATGTCCACAAGGTAGGGAATCTTGCCAGGGAATGATGCCCACAGGGATGGGAAGCCCACTGGGAAGGATGCCCACCAGGAGCAATGCCCAGCAGGGAAATGATGTCCAAAGGAACAGAATCCTGCCAGGGAATGATGCCCATAAGGAAGGGAATCCCACCAGAGAAGGATACTCCCTGGGAAGGAAGGATACCCACCAGGGAATGATGCCCACCTGGGGAGGGAATCCCACCAGGGGAGGGATGCCCAGCAGGAATGCTGCTCCAGCAGCTGTGCAGTGAGGGGGTGTCACCGGGCAGGTCCGGGGGTGCCCCTGACCCCCCTTTTCCCCCCAGTTCATCATCTCCGGCTGCCTCTCCATCGGGGCCGAGAAGAGCCCCACGGAATGCGCGGTGAGTGCCACCGGGAGCGGCTCCGCTGGCAGGTCCCTCCTGGATTTTTTCTGGGGGGGTCTCCTGCCCTCAGGGCCCCCCTGAGGCCCCCCGAGACCCCCTCCAAGCCCCCGGTGCCCGCAGGTGAAGGGCAGCCAGACCATGAACGTCATCAGCGCTATCTTTGCCCTGCTGGGGATCGTGGCCTTCATCGTCGACCTCAACCTCAATGTGCTCTACCACTCCAGCCTCGACTACCACGGTTACCTCGTCCTGGTAATCCCACTTTTGGGAATTCCCGCCCTTAGGAGAACCCCCCAGCCCCCCCTCCACCCCTCAAAGGGGCGTTGTGGCCCCCCCCAGTCACTTCTGGGGTGGGGGTTTGGCGTCTCTGCTGGCGTTGACCTATTTCAGGTCGGTCCCTCGGGAGATGACTCACCCTCTGGAAGCATCCACGAGCCGGAAAAACGGCGGGATGGAGGGCTTGGAGTGCTCACGGAGCTGGGAGTGCAGTGGGAGAGGAGGGGGGAGCCCCAAAACGCGGTATGGGGTGGGATTCCTCCTCCTGGGCACTTCCCAGGGAGGTGTTGATGGGGTTTTCCCCCCGCCTGGAGCTCGCAGGGAATGGGATTTCCATCGTGCTCCTCATCTTCACCATTCTGGAATTCTGCATTGCCGTGGCCACTGCCAACTTCTGGTGCCGGGCCACCCGGCTCAGCTCCAACGAGGTAAGGAATGGGATGGGGGGGAGGCTGGAGTGGACCCCCCCGAGGCTCTTCCCTGTTATCCTGGCATATTCCATGATCCCGGTTTCTCCCAGTCCATGCTGATCGTCCCCAGTGCCACCCGTGTGGACCTGGCTGTGCCGCCGGCGGAGCTGCCACAGCCACCCAGCTACACCGAGGTGATTCCCAATCCCAAGGAATAGTCAGGATAGGAGTGTACTCAGGATTGGGATGCCCCCCCCCCCACCTGGAGCAGCATCCGATCCCTTCCTGCGTGGCAGACCCCATCCTGCTGCCCTGGGAAAACATCCCATTCCCAGAGAGCATCCTGGAGCATCCACCTCTCTGCTCCTGGAAGGGGGGAAGAGATCCCTAAATCCCGCAGAGGGGTCACCCCAAATCCTTCTCCCCTCCCAAAGCTTGCTCTCCTTCCAGCTGGCTGCTCCTGAAGTCTGACACCGGAATGGGATCCTGCCTCCATCGCTCCCAAATCCAGGGCTACAGCATCGTCTTCCTGCTGGGATACGCTAGTCCCCCCCCCTCCAAAAGCCAGCGAGCCCCCCCAAGTTCCCACTTTCCTGCCCATCCATCTGCCCCTGTGCCTGGTCTGAGGGGCATTCCTTGCTGGCTGCTTTGGGAAGGGGCTTCTCCGTGCGGGACTCTTGGGGAATTCCTGCCTGTAAATCCCCAGTGGTATCCTGGGATTCACTCATGTCAGGATTCAGGACTTCCCGGGGGTCCGGTGGCTTGGAGTGATCCCGATGTGTAGATCCACCGGACCATCTACCTCGGCTCGTCCTGCGTTGGCTTGATTTTATCTTGGGAATAAATGCTCAATCTGGGCTTGTGTCTCCTGAATTTGGGAATCTTCAGCGTGAGACTTACAATTTCGCCCTCCCCCCCCAAGACCTGCTCTCTGTCAGGAAAAGGGCTCATCCCGCCTGGTTTGGGGGTACCTGCTCTCTCCCAAGGGAATTCTGCTCCCCTTAGCCCCTGCTACCTGTTCTGCCTCCCAAGAGAATCCTGCCCTGCTCCAAACCCCTGGCATTTGTTCTCTCCTGGTATTTGTTCCACCCTCCTAAACCCCTGGATCCCGCTCCCAAGGGACTTTTATCCCCATGAACCTCCAGTGCCTTCTCTCCTGAGGTAATTCCATCCCCCTTAACCTGTGGCACCTGTTCCCAAGGGATTCTTTTCCCCCTAAACCCCCTGTGTCTGCTCCCAAGGGAATTTTGTCCCTTTAAGTCCCTCATACCCTTCTCTCCTGAGGCAATTCCAACCCCTAAACCCCTGGCACCTTATTCCAAGGGATTTTTATCCCCCTAAATCCCCAGTACCTGCTCTCCTGAGGGAATTCTGCCCCCAGATTCCCCCCTACACTCGAACTGTGCTATTTTTAGCTGGGCCAGAGCGGCTGGAGTGCCGTCGGCGATGCCGGTGACGCCAGCACATCCCAGCACATCCCGCTTTTTCCAGCACTGGAGAAGCTGCCCCCGGGGCTAGAGCTGCTCCTTGGGGTGACATGGGGACACCGGTGCCATGTGCTCCCTGTTCCCAAAATTCCATGTGGCAGGAAGGGAGAGGAGGGGCTGCAATCCCTCCAAAATCCCTTGTTTTTAGGGTCGGGAACGGGAGCCAAAGGTCTCTGGGATCATTTTCTCGGCTCCTGATGAGCTCTTTATGGATCCATCCCTAATTATCCTGCATCCATGGATATGCTTGGGGACCTAACGAGCATTCCAGTGCCATCAAGTTATTTAAGGAGCATCCGAAACTCCTGGAAAGCCAGGATGGAGACCCCAAGACTGGTTTTCCAAGGGGTGGGAACATCCTGGTGACTTCTCAGTGCCCTGCTGGGGGGATCTCCTTACTTTTGGGGGCAAGATCCATCCCGAATCTCCCAGAGCAGGATCAGTGATGTCCTCCTTGAACATCCCCTTTGGTTTTTGGGTGTTTTCCTTGTTTTTCCCACCTCCCCGCCGCTCCGGCTGCTCAGCCAAAGCCTCATGGATTATTCACTCCCTGTCGGTTATTTCTGGGCCCAGCTCTGAAAAAATAATGAGCCTGATGAGTAGGAAAAGCCCCAGGGATTTTGGGAATGGGATGAACAGGCTGTGTCTACTCACCTCGTGTCCGCAATCCATTAGGGCTCCAGAGAATCCTGGCCTCTCCCAGCTCCACAGGGACCACCAGGAAGCCATTCCAACCCTCAGCCAAGCAGCTGGATCCATCTGTGTTTTCCCAGCGCGGCAGCTTCCCAGGAAAGAAGCTGGGAATCATCCTCACCCTCCAAGGGATCAGAGTCAGTTTTCCCAGAGTATCCCGGTGTTTAGGTGCAGCTTTCCCTGAAAAAACTGGAATAAGTGTTTAAGGTTCCATGGAAATGTGGGGGTTTTAATACATGTCTATTTTTAGGTGGGAATTTGCAGCCCTGGGGGGGAGTGGGCAGTTTTCCTCAAGGATTTGATCCCAAGCTTCGCATCCCTCATGGTGATGCTGCCACCCCCTGCTCCGTATCCTCATGGACATGGGTAAGTGGGATAATAAAGGTTGAGAGCTGCTCTCAGACTGCATCCATGGCCTTTCCACCAGGGAGATCCTTAAGGAAAGGCAAAACTCCATGAAGGAGCCGGGGAGCAGCTGTGAGATTGGGCTGCAGGGTCCAAATTGCTCTGTCTTCCCTGGAAAAGAAAAGGATCCAGAGAGACCTTGGAGCACCTTCCAGTGCCTGAAGAGAGCTGGAGAGGGACTTTGGAAAAGGGATGGAGTAACAGGGCATTGGGAATGGCTTCCCACTGCCAGAGAGTGGGAATATGGGAAAGGAATTCTTCCCTGTGAGGGTAGGGAGGCCTTGGAATGGATTTCCCAGGGAAGCTGTGGCTGCCCCATCCCTGGAAGTGTCCAAGGCCAGGTTGGAGCAACCTGGGATAGCGGAAGGTGTCGGGGTGGGAATGAGATGGGATTTAAGGTCCCTTCCCACCCAAACCATTCCAGTATTGTCACTAGGAGTCGGTGCCAGCAAAACCCTGGAGACGTGCCCGGAGTTTCACCGGACCAAAGGCTGGAATGTCACATGAGAGGGTGACAGACACATCTGGGACAGGGTTTAGGAGCAATGTCACCGTGTCCCAAATGCCAGGGTATGGATCACCCCAACCTCCCACCCACTCCCAGCTCCAGATTCTCTAATCTGGGATGGACACAGCTGTGTTCAACACTCTCAGAGGGGGCTCCTCCAGGGAATTCTGGGAACACGGAGTGCGGACAACATAGGTGACATTTCTGGGATGACATACCTGGTGTGCTTGCAGTGGCATCGGTGCCATGACTCCCGGGAATGTCACACAGATAAAAGCCAAAAAATCCTGCGATTCATTCCAGAAAACATGACTTTCCTTCCGGAATCACTATGGAAACATCTGGAAGCAAAGCAAAATGTTGACTTGTGGTATTTTTATGGGGATATAAAGTTTGTCCTGGGAAGCAGCAACCTCCTCTGGAAGGAATTTCTCCGTCGCAATCTATTTTCTTTGGAAAAAAACAAACCATGGAATTTTGGGCTGGAAAAGGGATTTTGGTTCCACCAGGTTTGTAAATTTATCCTGGTGGGAAGGGACTCGGGGTGGATGGGTCTCACTGATCCCTCCTGAGTCTGAGCATCCAGCCAGGCTTCCCCTATCCATAATTTCCCCTGAAAAATAGGAAAACAAACATTAAAATCCAAGGAATGCATTGCATATATCCCCAAGGCTCAAAATTCCTGCAAACAAAGGGCTGGAAAACTCCACTGCTTCCCTGCATCTGTTTCAAAGTCTCACTTCCTCTGGAATCTGCTTCCAGGATAAATCCTGACATCCTTCCTCGGGCTCCAGGCTGGACCTGAGTTTACCTTGGAAGGGGAAAGGCGCTTTTTCCATGGATAACTTGCTCGGAAAGGGGCTGTTCTGGAGGCCGAGGGCAGTTTCTGGCTGAAAGGCTGGAATTTCAGGAATGCTGCAGGATTTGGAAGGAAATCCACCATGTAGGGTGGTTTTGGCTGGGAATTTGAGCCCTGGATATGCTGGAAGATAAAGAGGGGATCCCAGAATTTCCACGGGGGCTCAAGTGTTCCTGGAACGAAATCCCTGGGATTGTTAGGATTGGGGTGTTGAGAGGGAGAGGGAGCAGCAGGAATTAAAGGCTCTGAGGCACCAGGAATGCGCTGGAGGGGTTGAACCTCACCCATGTCCGTGTTTTTCCTGGAAAGTTGTGCCGCCAGATGTAGCCCTTTACGAGGCCAAGTGCTTCCATCAGGGAGGTGGGATGAAAGAAGGTCACGGATGGGATGGGCACACGAGTCACTTGTTGCTCTTTGCTTTCCAGGTCTGTCACTCCAGCTCTTTTCTGGGATCTGATTTAGGCTGGGTTTGGGGGTGTATCCCATTCACTGAATCTTGGAATGGTTTGGATTGGGAGGGACCTTAAGTATCATCCAGTTCCAAGCCCCTGCTGTGGGAAGGGACACCTTCCATTGGATCAGGTTGCTCCAAGCCCTGTCCAACCTAGCTCCAGGGCTGGAAACCTCTCCCGAATTCTGGAATGTTGTGCTTCCTAACCCGGCCTCTCAGCTCCCTCTAGGGTCAAAAGGAAGGAAAAATCACTTCCAAAAGTTGCTCCATATGCTCCTGAAGTCCTCAGCTGGAGGGTCCTGCCCCTTCCCGGGTGGTGGGAAACCGAGCTCGGAGATGCCGGAATCCTGGAGCTAAAAATTCCTGTTCCATCAAGAAATTCCTGCCCTGCACCCACTGGACACCCAGGAAACCTGGGGAGGATCCCAATCCTCCTGGAAAATAGGACATGGCTGTTTTCTGGGAAGAAGGGGCCTCCAAATCCCTCAGAATCCCCTCTCCATGTGCAGTGGCTTCATTCCAAGCTTGAGTTCCCATTTCCGATCTCCAGAGCTCCTTCCTGGAGCTAGCTGGGAACCCCCCGGATCCCTCCTGGGTGTGCCCTTGTTGGGAACAAATCCACAGGGATGGAGGAAGGAGAACCCGCCCAAAATGGCAATAAAGGAGCTTCCTGGGGACCTAATGGGGTTTACAAAGTTCCCTGGCTCAATCCACGTTTTTCCTGGGAAATGGGCAGGACTGGCTGGCTCATTAGTGGCCCTAATCAGCATCTCATTAGGAGCCAGGTTAATTGCAGAGATGATTCCCGAAGAAAGCATCCACAATTTGGGATGGAAAGGACTCGTTCAGTACCAGGAAAGGGGGGCTCCTCTGGGAGCATCCCATGGGATAAACACCTAACCCTTCCCTAAGCTGCAAAAAAATCAACCCACCTTCCCAAACTCCCTCTCCCTGCATGGGATTTTGGGAGCCTCTGTTGGCAAAGCCACCTCGTTGAGCAAGAGGGGCCTGACGAGAGAATTCCAGGACGGAGCTTCCTGCAGGGAGCAAAGGGCAGTGGGAGTGCGGTCCTGCCTGTCCAGCACCTGCCGGGGATTTTGGGACATCAAAGGGAGGAGGAACAGGGAAAGGAGAATCCCAGGGTGCTCCTTGAGCTTCCCAGGTTCGTCCCCAGGCCATGGCGGCCACCACGGTGACGGAGTCCGGCGGCGTGAGGATCATCACGGAGGTGATCCCGGCCACAGATCCCCGGGCGGCACAGCTGGCATCGGGATCCGGGTCAGCTGTGCCTGCCAGGACGTGGTTCCAAGTCCAAGGTTTCCGGAGGGCTCATCCCAAGGTGTTGGGGGTGAGACACGGCGTTCCCGGGGAGAATAAAGTGGGGATCGGGGAGCCACAGGGAGTGTCCTGCTGGAGGTGCTTCGCCTGCCCCCAGTCCCTTCCTGGGCTGGGATGCAGCTCAAAACAATGGGATTGGGATCCCTCTTGCCCCATCCTTCCCCAGACCATCCACATCTTCACTGGGATCATCCACATCTTATTCGGGATCATCCTGACAGTGTCGGAGCATGAAAACCCTTCTCTCCCTGTGGCCAGCGGGATCCTCTTCTGGCTCGGGACCCTGGTAAGCTGGGATGAACAGGTGGGAATCCCAGGGAATCACAGAGCTTTGGGGGCAATATTCCCTGGTCTCCAGGTCTCCTCTGACTCCTTCCACCTGTGCTTGTGCATCCCTGAACCCCAATTCCCACCAGGAAGGGTGACAGGGAGTGGTGCCTTGTTCCTGACTCCCCATTCCCGGTGTTTTCCGAGCAGCTCCTGGTCTCGGGATCTTTGCTGGTGGAAAGTGAAAAGAGAGACAACATTTTGCTGGTAAGATCCAGGCTGGGAGGGATAACTGGGATAATGTGTCTCCCCGTTCCTTATGTCCCTTGCAGTGGCTGCTGGGATCCCTCCACAGCCTGGATTCATCCCATGAGATCCACAAGCAGGTCTCCCCATAGGGAGGTGCCCAGTGCTTCCTACCTGGAGGACAGGGTGGGGTTCGGGGCCTCCAGGGGCCTTTTGGAGTCACTGGGGGTGAGGGGGGAAAAACAGGTCCAGGAATCACTCTGGGATGAGGAGGACGGAAGATCCAGGCAACCCTCAGGGCCTTTCGGAACCGCTCTGGGATTACAGGGGCAAAAGTTCCAGGAGATCCCCTCGTCCCTCTTCCCGGGGCTCCGTGTCCCCCCTGGGTGACCCCACAGGTGCGCACCTGCTGCGTGGTCAACGTGGGCGTCGCCCTCGGGGCGCTGGCGGCCACCGCGGTCCACAGCACGGCCATCACGCGGCTCCTGCCCGGCTGCGAGCGCCGTGTGCCCCTGCAGATCCCGCCGGAGTGGTGCCTCAACGCCAACGGCAAGGTACGCACACAGGGCCAGGGGGGTGCTCAGGGCTCCTGGTCCCACTCAGGACCAGAACACCCTGCTCACAGTTGGGCGGTGGATCCCGGGGCTGCTCCAGGGCCTTCCCACTCTCCCCATCATCCTGGTAGATCCTGAGCAACGGGCTGGATTCCACCTTCGTGCTCCTCAACCTCCTGGAATTCTGCGTGGCCGTGGCAGCCCTGGCGTTCGGATACGAGGCTGTCCGGCAGCACAGCTACACCCACATGGTGAGGGGGGCATCGGGATGCGCCCCGAGAGTCCTTGGGAACCCCTGGGAATCCCTGGAATACTGGCTCCACCTCTTCCTTGGGCCACCTTGGAGACGTCTCCATGCTCCCAAAAGCTGGATTTCCATGTTTTTTCTTTCCCAGGCGCTGTAGCAACGGACAACCCCCCCACCCTCCCAGGACCACCAGGCCCCCCACAGAGGTGCCGCATCCCGGAGCGGGGTCACCAGTACCGGAGCCTCGGAGCCTCCCTCGCCCGCCCCAGTGCCCCCAATAAAGGTGTCTCCCCCCATCCCAGCTCATGCGTGTCTCCTGGGGTCGCTCGGGGTGCGGGTGAGGGATCTCGCCCCGGGTGGATGTTTGGGGGGTCCGGGGGTCCCCCCGGTGATGGGCAGCGCCGCCCGACACAAACATGGCGGCCGCCCCCCATTGCCGCGGGCGTTGCCCGACACAAACATGGCGGCCGGGGAGCCCCGGTGGCTTCGCTCTTGTGTTCTGCGCGTGCCCTGACGTCATCTCCCTGCGACGCCGCGGGCACGCGGACCATGGAGGGGGAGAACGGCGGGAGCCCGGGATTGGGACCGGGATCGGGATCGACCCCCGAGGGGCCCAGCAGGGCCGCCCCGGCCGCGGGCCCGGCGCGACGGCGGAAAGGCGCCAAGAAGCGGCAGGAAGCGGTGGCGGCCATTCCGCGGGGCAGGCCCAAGTCGGGGAGGGTGTGGAAAGACCCCGGGAAGAAAAGGTGGGATCGGGGAGAGGGGGGGCAGGAATTCGGAGAAGGGGCATTTGGGGGCTCTAGGGTCTCCCAGGGCTGTTTGAGGGGGGGATTGAGCTGGGGGGGGGACTCTGGGGCGTCTCACAGGGGGCAGGATTTCGGGGGGTTAGTCGTGGGGCCGTGCGGGGTCTCCGGAGTTATCCATATATATCCACAGGCTTAGGAAGGATCTAGAGGGGACAGGGACACTTTGGGGTGGTCCTGAGCGGAGGGGTGGGTTTGGAGGGGATGCTGAGGGGGTTTTCAGGGAATTCTGACCTGAGGAGTTTCTGGAGAGGACCCACGGCCGCATCCCGGGGTTTCTGGGGATCCAGCACATCTCGTGTGCTCGCCCAGGTTCTCCCACATGATCCAAGACAAGGCTCTCCGCACCTCCTGGGCCCGGAAAATGAAGGAGAGGCAGGAAAAGAAGCTGGTCCAGGATTTGGCGCGGCAGCTGGAGGAAGGGAAGTGGAGGGAGCGAGAGGTAAGTGGAGCTGGGAATTCCCACCTTTCCCACACACAATCCCATGTCTCTGCCTTCATCTCGGGCTTTGGGGCTGTGGCTGATCCCAGTGCTGTGCCAAACCCCAGGAGAAGGGTGGCTGGGATGGTGAAGTCCCTGCGCTGGTGCCAAATCCAGTCACGTGCTGCTACTCACTGACTTGGAATAAACTCCCCCCGGGTCAGTCCAAGCCTCATCCGGGCTGGAAAAGCTGCTGGAGTGACAGATTTCACGCTCGGGCAGGTGTCAGAGCTGGTTTGGGATTAATGCTGGAGGAAGAGATCCCACAGCAAATGTTCTGGTGCAGGAAAAAAAGCGGCAGAGGGAAGAGAACCTGAAGCGGCGCCTGGAAAACGAAAGGAAAGCCGAGATTGTCCAAGTGGTGAGTCCCAGTTTGTTCCCTCTCCCGGGTGGGAACAGCACTGGGAATATCCTACAACAACATCCCACAATGCCCAGACTCCATGGAAGGGGCTCCAGTTCCTCTCTCTGGCTCTGTCTTTAAGGGATACTGGGAGCACTGGGAAGGTGTTCCCTGTGCCAAGGAGGGTGGGATGGGACGGGACAGCTGCTCTTGCAAGCTTGAGAATACCAGAACTAAGGGATAACAGGCACATGGGGTGGTGGAACAATGAAAACATGGCACTGATTGGGATCCATGTGGGGAAAATCCCGGGAAGAGACCCAGGAGCTCGGGATGGGTATGGAAGTGCCTGAGACCAGGTTGGATGGGGCTTGGAGCAACCTGGGCTAGAGAATCCATAAGGACCATCCTTAAGGTCCATTCCAACCCAATCCAGTCCAGGATTCCATGAAATCCTCCTCTTTTCCCTGTTTTCCAGATCCGGAACCCTCTGAAGCTCAAGAGGGCAAAGAAGAAGCAGCTCCGGCGGGTGGAAAAACGGGACACACTGGCCCTGCTCCAGAAGACTCCCGTCAGGCGCAGCACAGCCATGGAATGAGGCGGGAATCGAGATCCTGCCACAGCTGGGATGTGCATCTGGGATTCCTATGAATCCTGCTCCCTTCTCCAGGGATGTTTTCCCTGGCTTGGAGGGCTGGAATTGCTGCTGGGACTCTCAGTGTTGGACAGACAACAGGACAGATGACCCGCAGGAACCTGCTGGATCCCCATCCCTGTGGATTTGGGATGTTGCTGAAACAGAACTTTGTTTTCCCAAATTTGCCTTTTCCCTATAAAAATGAACAGCAACTGAGACAGATTTGCCTCCAGTGGCTCCACCTGGGACCTTCCCTAAGGCATTCCTGGGATTGGAGTGTTTCGTGGCCCCTCATTCCCTGAGGCTCCCCCTTCCCAAAGAGCAAATTCCCGCTGGGAATGAGCCCCAGAGCCAATCCCCAAGGAAAGGGACACATCCCTTGAGAGATGGGAAGGGGACGCACCTTCCTGACATCCTTTTTGAGGGGGGCAACACTGGGAATTTGGGGAGGATTGGAAGGGCTGGGAATCTGGGGGTGGCAGGGGGGGATGGAAGGAAGAGGCTCAGGGTGGGAAATCCATGTGGATTTCTTCACATTCCTGGTTTTTCTTGCTCCATGAACACCCTTTTTTCATTCCTGGGGAGAAACGGGATGGATAAAGAGATGATGGGGAGGGTGGGACAAGAGGGGCACTGGGGTGGAAAACAGGACTACAGGAAGCAGCAGGAAGCCCTGGGATGGGTGGGAATGGGGTTCCCAGTGGGAACTGGTCCTGAGCCCCCCCAAACAGAACCCCCTGGAATGGGATAAGGGGGGTCCCATCCGTGTCCAGGATCAAGGGCTGCCACAGGGAAAGGGAGGGAAGCTGGCGGGAGCTGTGGGGTGTGGCAGGTGCCAGCCTGGCACGGGGTCACGGGCAGCCCTCTGCCCTCCTGCTTCCCGGGTTAATGATTTCCAAGGATTACTCAATCCTGGCCTCTCCCTCTCCAGAGCCCACAGAGCCTTTGCCCAGCGGGGTAAGAGAGGGGGGAACTGGGAGCCCATTCCTGTGGCCTCGGGGCTTGGAGGGGCTGATTTCCTGGTGAGACGGACCTGGGAGAACGCAGTGTCTCCTTCCAGGGCGGGACTGGGGCCAAACCCCCTTGTTTCGCATTTCCGGAGAGGCGACAGGGAGCATTCGGGATTAGGGGGCTCGGAGCCGCTGGAGTCCTGCCCCACCCCGGCCCATGGGGGGCACAGGAGGAGGAGAGGGGACAGTGGGTGTTCGGAATGCCGGGGCTGGGAGACATGGAAAAGGGGTGGTGCTGCTGCCGGGCAAGTTTTGGGGGCGCTGGAGGGGGGGCTTGGGGCCAGGGGGTGGGGATAAGGGAAGGAAGGATTGGGGAAGGAGGGACGAGAACTAGGGAAGTAGGAGATGGGGACATGGAAGGAGGGGACAAGGGACCAGGGAAGAAGAGATGAGGATGAGGGAGGGGACAGGAACCAGGGAAGGAGGAGACAGCGACTAGGGAATGAGCGATGGGGATCACGGGAGGAGAGGATTGGATCCAGGGAGGGAGAGATAAGAACAGGGAAGGAGGGGATGAGATCCAAGGAGGGAGAGATAAGGACAAGGAAGGAGGGGACAGGGATCAGAGAAGGAGGGGATGGGATCCAGGAAGGGAGGGATAAGGACAGGGAAGGAGGGATGAGGATAGGGATCAGGGAATGAGGGATGAAGGTCAGGAAGAAGAGAGGGATGAGGACAAGGAAGAAGGGAATGGTATCCAGGGAGGGAGAGATAAGGACAGGGAAGGAGGGAATGGCATCCAGGGAGGAAGGGATGGGGACAGAAAAGCAGGGATGCCAGCAGGACTATCCGGACCGCAAACCTACCTCACCGTGTCATCCCGTTATCTTCTGGGAGGATCCCTGGGATGCTCCCTGCTGCCAGCCCCCTGCCTGGGCACAGCAATCCCTCGGGATGCTCAGGACGATCCCTTTCCCAGGTGCGCCATGGTGGAGGTGACGGTGACACCGCGGTCCTCACTGGCCGACCGGCCGGTGCAGGTCCGGGTGCGGGGACTGTCCCCGTCCCAACTCGTCACCCTCCGCGCTTGGCTGAAGGACGAGCACGGCGAGTGCTTCCAGTCCCGCGCCTTCTTCCGTGCCGACGGACTGGGAGAGGTGGATCCCGGGAGCCATGCCGCGCTGGGAGGCAGCTACTCCGGCGTGTGGCCCATGGGGCTCTTCTGGTTCCTGCAGCCTGACACGCTTTTCCGCCGGCTGGTGAAGCGGGACGTGGCCGGGAGCCCCTTTCTGGTGCGGCTGGAAGTGTTCAATGGGCTCCAGCTGGGCACGGAGCTGCAGGAGCAGCCGCTGGGATGGTGTGAGGCTGAGCGGTGGTACGTGGGGCCTGGAGTGCAGCGGGTGCCTGTCCGCGAAGGAAGGGTCCGAGGGACCCTGTTCCTACCTCCTGGTGAGCACTGCGGAGTGGGAATCCTGGGATGCACAGCCTTGGGACCCCTGGGATAACGAACAGCAGGACTCCCAGATGCTCAAACTCTGGAGCCTTGGGATGCCCAGCCCTGGGATGCCCAGTCTTGGGATCCCTGGGATATCAAACATCAGGACCTCAGTTGCCCAGCCTTGGGAACCCTGGGATACTGAACCTTGGGATCTCTGGGATAACAAACACCAAGACCCCCAGGATGCCAAACCTTGAGATCTCTGGGATATGAAACCTTGGGATACCCAGCCCTGGGACTCCTGGGATATCAAACAGGATGCCCGTTCTCAGGACCTGTGGGATGCCAAAACCTTGGGATCCCTGGGTCGCCAAACCTCAGGACCCTCAGGATGTCCAGTCTTGGCACCCCTCGGATAGCAAACATTGGGACTCCCAGGATGCCCAACCTCAGAACCCCTGAGATACCCAGCCTTGGGATCCCTGGGATAACAAACATCAGGACCCAGCCTTGGGACCCATGGACATGATACCCAGATTGTGACCCCCAGGATACTGAACCTCAAGACCCCCTGGGGATACCCAACCTTGCACCCCAGGATTGTCCAACCTTGTAATCCCGAGGATGCAGGACAGTGGCTCCTCATCCCTGACATTCTGTGTCTTCCCGCAGGTCCAGGCCCCTTCCCGGGGGTGATTGACATGTTCGGAGGTGCGGGGGGGCTGATCGAATTCCGAGCGGGACTCCTGGCCAGCCGGGGCTTTGCCGTGCTGGCCCTCGCCTTCTTCGCCTATGACGACCTGCCCCGAGTCCTGGCCCAGCTCGACCTGGAATACTTTGAGGAGGCAGCGGATTTCCTCCTCCAGCATCCCAAGGTGAGTCCTGGAGTGTGGAGAGGAGCATCTGTGAGCTGGGATGTCCCGGGGACAGGGGCAGCCTGGTGAGTGTGATGTCCCTGTGATGACCAGGAATGTCCCAGGATTGTCCTGAACACCAGGAACATCTCAGGGGCTGGTGGCATCCTATGTGACCAGGGCCATCCCAGTGATCTCCCAGGAATGTCCCAGCGACCAGGGATGTCCCAGTAATGCCCCAGGGTTGTCCTGAGCACTGGGAATATCCCAGGGACCAGGGGCATCCCAGTGATCTCCCAGGAATGTCCCAGCGACCAGGGATGTCCCAGTAATGCCCCAGGGTTGTCCTGAGCACTGGGAATATCCCAGGGACCAGGGACATCCCATGAAGACATCCTTGTCCCGCTGCCCAGGGGATGTGCTTGAGATATCCTAGCAAGCAAGGAACATCCTGGTGATCAGCAATGTCCAAGTGAGGGTGTTCTCCCCATGACTGGGAATGCCCTGGTGCCATCCCACTGACCTCCCAGCCACTCCGTGTGCCCTCTCTCCAGGTGCGAGGCCCTGGCCTGGGTGTGGTGGGTGTCTCCAAAGGCGCGGAGGTGGCCCTGGCCATGGCCAGCTTCCTGCCGCAGGTGGTGGCCACTGTGTGGATCAACGGCACGGCCTTTCTCCATGGCAACCCCCTGGTCTACAAGGACCTGCACATCCCGCCCATCCCTTACTGCTTGGAGCGCATCCTCCTCACTGAGGTGGGAGCCATGGACAACTCGGCCATCTTTGCCGACCCCCGGGACCCCACCTACCGTGCCTCGGCCATTCCAGTGGAGAAGATCCGCGGGAAGGTGCTGTTCGTGGTGGGAGAGGCCGACCGGAGCTTCAACAGCAAGCTCTTCGCCCAGCTGGCCCTGGAGCGGATGCCTCCGGAGAGCGGGCGGCTCCTGTCATATCCCGGTGCCGGACACCTCATCGAGCCCCCCGGCTCCCCCCTGTGCAGCATCTCCAGCATTCGCGGCACCCCCCGGCCTGTGGCCTGGGGGGGGGAGCCCCAGCCCCATGCCCATGCCCAGGAACATTCCTGGCACGAGATTGTCCAGTTCCTGGAGCAGCAGCTGGGCCCGGCCGCTGCCATGAAGCTGTGAGGGAGTGGGAAAGGGGGTTGGGAATACCAGAATTGGTGCCAAGGGGAATAAAGTGGCACCTGTTGGATCCTGGTTGTGCTTCTGGGGGAGCTGTGTGGGACATACATACGGACTTAAAATGGACATGTATACAGGATATCTAGAGGGCATCTTTAGGGTATATCTAGGACATGTATATAGGATATATATAGGACAGATGGACAACTATATAGGATATATATGGGACACATAAAGGACACACATACAGGATATCTATAGGGCATATATCAAACATTGGACATATATATAGGACATCTATAGGATATATATCAGACATAGGTCCGACCTATACTGGACATATATAGGACATCTATCATATATATATATATATATAAAAGAAATATAGGACACATATCAGACACATCTAGAACACGTATCAGCCATACATATCTGACATCACTTCCTGATAAGGTTTTAGAGGATCACATCCAGCCCCCCAGTCCCACACACCTTCCCACCAGGATCCCAGTGGGAGTGGGAGCTGGCACGGTCCCATTCCCACCCCAGGGCAGGGAACAGGGAATGGCTGTCACTCTGGGAGAGGCCGAAGGGTGACTTAGTTTAATCCATAGTAAAGATAAATCTCAGAAGGGAAACTTCTGGAAAGGGAGGCAGAGGGAATGCACAAAGTGCTCCATGGAGGACTTTGCATTCCCTGTGGCACTGCTGGTGGAAGAGATTTGGAGACAAATTCCCAGTCCTAGTTCCCCACATCTACTCGGACTGTGCCACTGTGCCCCGCAGTCCCCCTGCAGGGTCCCAGTCCCACAGGAAAGGCATGTCCAGATGTTACCTGTGGCAAGCAGGAATCAGGGCACATGCCACCCTTTATTCCCTCTTGGATCCAGCTGGGCATCCTGTTCACTGGGAGTTTTCCAAGTGTGGGATAAGTTCGGTTTGTCCCGGGTCACCGTGACACGGCCACGGGAGGTGATCCCAGGGCCAGGGCACTGAGGTCACCGTCGGCACGGGAGCGAGGAGCCCGGGGCAGAGCTCATCCCGCCCGCTCAGCTGATCCCCCCCGCATCCCAGCCCTGCGGATATAAATCCGTGTGGGACAGCCCCGTGTGCCACCTGTCTCATACCACCATGGGACGGAGCTGCTCCTTCCTCCTGCTCCTCTTCCTCCTGGCCCCGTGGCCCAGGGCCAGCGTGTCCTTCCTGCGGCACAGCTACACCTGCGGAGAGTTGGGAATGCAGCTCCTAGTATTCCCGTCCCATGGCCACTCTGTCCGCTTCAAGGTCCTGGGTGAGTGTGGGAAGAACCCCCGGATCCCCTTGGGGTGCTGTATCCCTGAAACCCCAGTTTTTCCGTGGGATAACCCCAATGGCTTGAATGAGGTGCTGCCGGGGGGGTTTCCGTGTGCCCACCACCCTCGGGAGCATCCCGGCGTCTGGATGGGTCACTTCCCTGTGTCCATGGTGTCCCACCAGATGAGTTTGGGACCCGCTTTGATGTGGCAAACTGCTCCATCTGCCTCCACCGGCTCAGCTCTGGGGAGGATGGATCCATCATCTTCTCCTCTGGATACAAGGGCTGCCATGTCCTGCTCCAGGTGACATTCCTACCCCTGTCCCTGCCCCTTCCCCATTGGATGGAGGTCACTATCTCTCATATCCCACTGCAGGAGAACCGATATGTCCTGAGGGTGCAGCTGGAGGAGCTGATTCCCGGTGGGTTCCTGGTCACCTCCTCTGAGGTCAACATGACCTGCCCAAAGCCGGGTGGCTCTGAGACACGCCCAGATGGAAGCCCGGAGCGGGGTCGGGATAACGGAATCCTGGTCTCCCACGCTGGTCTCCGGCACCACGTCTCCCAGTCCTCCCTCACCCTGGCAGGATCCCAGCTCTCATCCCACACCCACTCGGAGCAGGTTCACACCGTAGCACTGAATGAGCCCAGCTCAGTGCTTCCCAGGATTCCGCCCCAGTCCAACCCAGTTCGCCCAGGGCTTCCATCCGAGTCTAGTGGGATTCGTCTGGTCTCCAATATCCAGGGGGGCTTCAACCGCCCGGGAGTGCAGCACTCCCACCCTGGAGGTCAGACCCAGCCAGGCCTTGCATCTCAAAATTCTCCCAGTATGAGGCATCCCGGGGGTCAAACTTGGCCAGGCCTTCGCCCGGAGTTTGTATCCCAAAACCCTCCCCGTTTGGTGAATCCTGGGAGTCAGACCCAGCCAGGGCACTTTCACCCAGGGTTTGTACTCCCAAACCATCCCAGTTCACTGAATCCCGAGGGTCAAAACCAACCAGAACTTCGTCCAGGGCCTGTATCCCAAAATCCTCCCAGTCCTGTGCATTCTGGGAGTCAAACCCAGCCAGGGCCTCGTCCAGGGCCTGTATACCAAAATCCTCCCAGTCCTGTGCATTCTGGGAGTCAAACCCAGCCAGGGCCTCATCCAGGGCCTGTATACCAAAATCCTCCCAGTCTGGCGTATGTTGGGAGTCAGACCCAGCCAGGGCTTCGTCCAGGGCCTGTATCCCAAAATCCTCCCAGTCCAGTGCATTCTGGGACTCAAAATCCACCAGGGCTTCGTCCAGGGTTTGTATTCCAAAACCCTCCCAGTCCAGTGTATGCCGGGAGTCAGACCCAGCCAGGGCTTCGCCCAGGGTCTATATCCCAAAACTCACCTGTTTTGGCTCCTGCTGGTGTTCACCCTCCAGCAGGATTCCTGCACCCAGGATCTCAGCTCCCCAACCAGCCAGGAATAGGTCAGCCCAGTTTTCCCTCCAGCTCCCAAACTGGGCTCCCGAGCTACACTGGGCTGGTCCATCCCGGCCATCCCAGTCCGCCTTTAGTGAACTCGGCCTGGCCGGGTTTGATCAGCCCTGGACTCCAACCTGGATTGCTGCATCCCGGGATCCACACTCCACCCAGGCTGCTCCAGCCCACCGCACTCTTCTATCCTTCAGGAGGGGCAGGTATAGTGGAAAAGTGGGATGAAGGGATGCAGCCCTGGATCTGAGGGCGGGATAAGGGGCTAGGATAAGAGGAACCAGCCTCAAGTTGTGCTGGGGCAGGTTTGGGTTGGATATCAGGGAAAATTTTACATGGAAAGGGCTGTGCAGCCCTGGACACCATGTCTGGAAGCGTCCTACCAAAAACACGTGGCTGTGGCTCCTGGGGACGTGGTGGCCTCTTGGCACTTCTGCGGGAACGGTCGGACTCCATGACCTGAGAGGGTTTTTCCAACCCAACAATTCCACGACTTGTCACGGGGACTTTGTGACGGGGCAGTTCCTGAGGGTAGTGTCCTGTCCCTTCCTGCCCTCAGGAACGCAGTTGACGCGGGAGCAGTGCCAGGTGCCGGTGGGCCGGATGCCGTGCGTGGCTCCGCAGGGACGGGACGGCTGCATCCAGGCGGGATGCTGCTACGACGACACGGACCGTGCCACGCCCTGCTACTACGGGAACACCGGTAGGACACTCGGGGAGGGGTATCCCGGGAATCCCCATGGCACCCAGCTGATGGAAATCTCTCCATGGCGCTGCAGCCACCGTGCAGTGCCTGCGGGAGGGGCAGTTTATCCTGGTGGTCCCGCGGGGAATGGCCGTGCAGCCCTACAACCTGGACAGTGTGCGGCTGGCCGGGAGCCAGGCGGGATGTGAGCCCTTCCACGTCACCGAGAGCTCCGTCATGTTCCGCTTCCCGGTCACCCACTGTGGGACCACCCTGCAGGTACTGGGAGCCCCCCGAGCCCCCCAGGGGATCAGAGAGGGGTAGGAAACACTCAGGACAAAATGCTCATCCAGCCTCTGCTCAGTCCCTGATCCATTTATCCCCCAGGATACTCCCAACTCATTAACCCCCTTCAGGATAAAGAATTCACCCGCACTGCCTCGTGCCTCAATCTCTGATCCACGGATCCCTCCAAATGCTCCCAGCTCCATGTTTCCACCTCAAAAACCCAAGTCAGGATAAGGAATCTATCCTCTGCCTCATGCCTCAAATCCTGATCCATTTACACCTCAGGATGCTCCCAGCTCTATAACCCCCTTCAGGATAAAGGGCTCCCCCACACTCTGCCTCCTGTCTCAAAGCCTGATCCATTTATCCCCTGGGATGCTCCCAGCTCATAACCCAATTTAGTATAAAGAATTCACCTCCACTCTGCCTCCTGTCTCAGATCCTGATCCGTGGATCCCTCAGGATCCCTGTTCCCATGTCCCCTCCAGGTGATCGAGGACCGGCTGATCTACGAGAACCAGTTGATCTCCACCATCGATGTCCAGGGATCCTCCCGTGGCTTCATCACCCGCGACAGTGTCTACATGTAAGGGAAAGGCAGGAAAAGCCAGACAGAACCAGGATTCCCCTTTGGAAAGCCCATCCTGCCCCCCCCCACCCCCCCCACCTACATCAACCCAATCCTTGCTCCTGCCAAATTCCCGGCTTTCCCCCCCGACTTGGGCTGGGAGAGGTGATGCTGGAAGGGGCAGATGGAGGACTTGGGAGTCTTTCAACTTCCTCTGCCCATTCCCAGTCTCCAAGCTCGGTGCATCTACAATGCCAGTGACCTCCTTCCCTTGGGAATGGAGGTGGCTGTGCCCCCCACGGCCGCTCCGCTGGCAGTGCCGGGACCGCTGGGGCTCCAGCTCCGGATTGCCACCGGTGAGCTATTCCCAGCTTCCCACCCCGCTCCCAATCCCGCTCCCCATCCCACTCAACCCTCCCAACATTCCCACAGACGAATCCTACAGCTCCTACCACCCCGTGGGCGACTTCCCCTTGGTGAGAGTGCTCAGGGACCCCATTTTTGTGGAAGTCCGGCTGCTCCAGAAGACGGATCCCAACCTGGTGCTGGTGCTTCACCAGTGCTGGGCCTCTCCCGGCTCCAGTGCCGCTTCCCAGCCCCAGTGGCCCATCCTGGTGGACGGGTGAGTAGAGTGGGGTTGGGGGGATGGTGAGGGCGGATGGATGGTGCCCACAGAGGGTCTTTGCTGCCCGTCCAGGTGTCCCTTCCAGGGGGACAATTACCGGACACAGATGGTGCCAGTGGGTCCGGCCTCTCCGGAGCTGCCATTCCCGAGCCACTACCAACGGTTTGTCATCTCCACCTTCACCTTTGTGGAGCCTCCCGGGATGGCCGTGATGGAGGGAGAGGTGGGTTGTGCGTCTGGGTGGGTCCCAGTGTTGGGAATCCCTCATCCCAAATTCATCCCAGCTCTGAACTCCCCTTTTTGCTGCTTCCTCAAGGCTAAGAGTCCCTTTACAGGGCTTCCCCAAAGCTTGAAGCTGCTTTTTTGGGAGTCTTCCCCAAGCCTTGGAGCCCCTTTCTGGGGGTCTCTAGCTGATCCCACCCCACCTGTGTTTCCCAGGTGTACATTTCCTGCAGTGCCTCCGTGTGCCACCTGGCCCAGCCAGAGCCGTGCCGCCCCTCCTGCCAGCTGGGAGTAACCTCACGTAAGTCCAGGAGCTTCCCGAGATTTAGGGGTCCCTCCATGTGCCCCCCTTTTCCCACCCCAACCCTCTGTTCCCACCAGGAGCACGTCGGTCTCTGGGGAACAGCAGGACGGCTGATAGAATGGGAATGGTCACATCCCTGGGATGCATTTTCTTTCCCAAAGTTTCCAGGAGAAGCTGAGGAGGTGAGTGCTCTCTGCTCCCTGAAAACCCCTTCATCCCAAAACAACCCTTCATTCCTCTAACTCAGCTCCTCTTCACAGCTCCTGCCTCCACCTGATGCTGCTGGATTTCTCTGGGAAAGCTGGAAAAATAAACCAGTGCAAATCACAGCTCCAGGGGTGGTTTATCCAGGGAGTGGGAGGAAAGGGGATCCTTCATCCCTATTCCCAAGATGGGAACATCCCCAGTCCCTCAAATCCTATGCTGCTAGCCACTAAACTCTTTACAGGAGCCTTTTCCCAATGGGATGACAGGGAATAGTCCTTTATTTCCATACTGAAACTAAGTAACTGCGTACAAAAATCTGCACATTCCTTCCCTCCTTCCACATGTCCCAGCCTCCAAATTCCACAAGCATGAGGATCAGGGGGCAGGGGAGGGGGTTCACATCAGTTACAAGCACAAAACAATTCTAAAGGCGGAAAACATACGGAATTAGGAAAAAAAACCCTAAACAATAAATTCACGGAGCGCAGGGAAGATGACGCCCAACTTCCCCCTTACACCAACAGCTACGACAGGGGAGCTTGATAATCCCACCGGGGTATTCCCACTTGGATAATCCCATATGGATATTCCCACCCACCTCCCACCCCGAATCCCGGCAGGATCCTGGGATTACAGGCTGTAGAACTTGAGGCTCCGGTCCATCCCCGTGGACGCGATGAACTTGGCGTGGTGGCCAAAGGCCACTCCCGTGGTCAGGCCACTGTGCTCTGGGGGTGGAAAACATTCCCAGGTCAGGGCTCCCTGGTTCCCATGAATCCCAGCCCACCTAAAGCATCCCAATCCCTCACCTGTGAAGTGCAGGATCTCCGTCCACTGCTTGCAGATGTAGATCTGGACGTCAGTCCCACCCAGTGCCAGGTAGGTCCCGCTCTGGTCGAAAATCAGGGATTTCACCTGTGGAGGAGAAGCGGAATAAGGCATTGGAAAAGCTCCTGAAGCGTTTTTGGGACGCTGACCCCATTTCAGGAGGGGAGTGGAAGAAGATGCTGTCACACACCTCGAAGTTGTTGTCCAGCTGCAGCGTCTTGAAGTTCTTGAGCTTGCGCAGATCCCAGAGTTTGACAGAGGAGTCGTCAGCAGCCGTGGCCAGGTAATATCCGTTCTCGGAGAAGGCAATGCTGGTGATGGGCCCAGAGTGTCCCGGGAAGTTGGCCACGTTGGTGCGTTCCTGGGGATGAGGGGGTTAGACAGGGAATCACAGCACAGGAACGTGCCATCGTTCCACTCCGGAGCTAACAGGATGAACGGACCTTCCTGGGACAACCCCAACTGCTGTTATGGGGTCACTGCTGAAACTGGGGGTTTTGGGAAGAAACTCCCTAAAACATTTCTAAAGTCCCACTCCTTGGACCTTAGACATTCCCACATCAGGGCCAGCCCTACCTTCAGATCCCAGATTTTGATTTGCGAATCCATCGTTCCCGTCCCAAAAATGAGCCCGTCCGGGTGGAACTGGGCACAGGTGAGAGCTGGAGAGACATGGGGACACTCAGGCTTGGGAATAATCAGGAGCGCTGGGAAGACTCAAGGACAGCACAGAGACCCCTGGGATGGGGATACTCATCCCTAATCCTTACCACATCCAGAGCTCTCATCCGTCACCTTGGTGAGAACACGGCCCGTCTGGATATCCGAGAAAGCCCAGTACTGGGAAAAGACAGGAAGAACGTTGGCTCCAGAGGAGTGGGTAGCACGGGTGGGATCTGTGGGATGGGAGGGGATGTGTCCCACCTGGTCATCTGAGGAGCTGAGCAGGTAATCTCCGGTGGCGTGGAGGCTGAGCCCGGTCACAGAGCCCTCGTGGGCACGGACCACCTGGACACAGGAGGCATTGGGAACGGACCAGATCCGGATCGTGGCATCAGGAGAAGCCGAGAACACCAACTCCTAAACAGGGACCACCCAGGAAGGTCAACACGGGCAGGATTCACCTCCCCCAGAGCTCCCAGCTGGAGATTCCGGTGGAAAAGGGTCCTGAAATGCAAACTTAAGGAACCCTGGATGCGAGGGAAAAGGTCACAGGCACCTGGGATGGGTGGAAGACGACGCTGGTGACCTTTTTGGTGTGCCCTTTGAGCGTGGCCAGGATCTGCTCCGAGCTCTTGTCAAACACGATGACATTTTTATCTGCCCCACCTGGAAAACCAAGCAGGAAGCGCTGGGATGGGAGTGTGGGGCCAGCAACTCCAAATCCCACCTGTTTTTTCAGGGAACTCCCACCCTCAGCAACTTTGCCATGAGGGGAGAGAGTCTCTCACCCCATTGTCCCACCCTGAATTCTCAAAAGCACAGAGATCCCATTCCAGGCAGCCACATTCCAGCCTTACCAGTAAGAATCTTGTTGGTGTCGGAAGGACACAGATCCAAGGCCAGAATTCCCGGGATGCTGGCGCTGTGCAGCCCCTGTGTGAGGCAGGACACCCCAAATTAATACCACAAGCAGGAAAATGCTCCCAAAAGGAATCCAGAAACCTCAAGGGATTCCCAGCTCCCAGTTTTCCAGCCTTTTACCATCCTGGCACTCACCACGTGGGAGGCGACCTGCCGGTACTTGCTAAGCTCCTCCGGCTTCACCAGCTCCTCGGGAACAGTCTTGCCCCTCTGGAAAACGAGGATAAACATCAGTCTCTCTTGGAACACAGCACATCTGAGCTCCCATGGAATGTTTGGATGAAGTTACTCACCTTTTTACGCTCTGTAGTCAGCACTGTGGCCTTGTCTTGGAGCTGGAAAATAAGAAGAGGGTTGGCACGGGTCGGGAATTCCACGGGATAGCAGGAGACACGGAGCAGCCCTTACTTTTTGGATTATCTCTGGAGTCATTCCTGCCAGCTCTCCCAAATCCATGGCCTCCCCGGCACCCTGTGTGAGACAGAGAAACAAGGGTGCACAGGAGGGATTTGGCAGCAAGAACGAGTAGGAAAAGGGCTGGGAAGGACTGGGATAGGGACTCACCGCCACGTTGGGCTGTGCCGACGGCACCGCCTGGGGCATGATGAGCCCGGCCTGGGGCTTCAGGGTGGCCAGAGCTGCGGGAACACAGCGAGTTGGGATGGGAATGGGCACAGAGCTGTTCCCATGGGAACAGGAACCTTCCCACAGGACGGGCACTCACCTTCCCTGGCGGCCGTGACCTCCTTGGTGAGGCGGGCGATGACGCGGCACGCGGCGTCGTGCTGGTACAGGGCGTGGGACAGCTCCTGGCGCGTGGTCTGCAGCTGCTGCCGCAGTGTGAAGCTGTGCAGCATCACGGCATCCTGCGGGACGTGCCAGCAATCAGCCAGGGACACCCATCCCACCTGGCATCCCACAGGGAACGGCCCCGTGGCTTACCCACTCATCCTGCAGCGCTTTCAGGATGGCCGGGATGCTGGTGGCCGACGGGGGCTTGGGGCGGATCGGGTGGGCAACTGGCAAGGAAAAGGGTCATCTGTGTCCTCAGTACCCCTCAGGATCTCTGCACTCCAATCCCACCTCCCCAGGTTCTCCCATCCCTCAGGAAATCCCTTCCCATCCCCACCCCCATTGGGTGTCTGTGCCAGTTCCCGCCACCCTGCAAATTCCCAGGAATGCAGGGGTCGGCGTTCCTGGGTACCTTTGATATCAATGAGCTGCTCTTCAGCCAGGGGCTGGTTGTTGACGGGGTCGGTGCCGTTCTCGGCGATGTACTTCTCGATCAGCCGCCGCTCGTACACATGGTTGGACACGGGTGACACGCATGGGTGCTCCGGCACCTCGTTGGAGACTGGGAATCCCGGGAACGGGGGGGTTACGGAGCTGCAGCGCCCCACCCGTGGGGACCCTGCCCAGAGCCCGGGAATCCCCCTCCCAGTGACTCTGTGGGGCTGGGAAAACCCCACCTGTGACCCTCCTCTCGGTGATCCCCTGTCTGCGAACCCCACAAACCAGCGACCCCATAAACTGCTCACCCCTCTCCCAGTAATTGCCCTCCAGTAACGCTCGAGCCCGGGAAACCCCTGCCCAGTGACTCCCAATGTGGGAACCCCATAACCCAGTGACTCCCTGCCTGGTAACCCCCAGTCTGGGGACCCCACAAATCAGTGACCCCCAGTCCAGGAACCCCATGAAATGGTGACCCCTCTCCAGAGACCCCATAAACCAGAGATCCCTGCTCAGCAATCCCATAAACCAGTGACGCCCTGCATGGTGACCCCCAGTCTAGGAACCCCACAAACCAGTGACTCCCCTCCAGTGACCCCATAAACTGCTCACCCCTCTCCCAGTAACTCCCCTCTCAGTAATACTCGAGCCTGGGACCCCCCTGCCCAGTGACTCCTGGTGTGGGAACCCCATAAACCGGTGACCCTCCCCTCCAGTGAGACGATAACCAGGTGACCTCCTGCTCGGGAACCCCATAACCCGGTGACCTGCTGCCTGGTGACCCCCAGCCTGGGAACCCCATAAACTGGTGACCCTCCTCCCAGTGACCCCCAACCCGCGAACCCCATAAACCAGTGAGCCCCTGCCCAGGAAGCCCATAAAACGGCGACCCCCTGCCCAGCGACCCCAGTCTGTGAGCCCCATAACCCAGAAACGCCCGGACCAATGACCCCATAAACCAGAATGACCCTCAATCTGACAATCCCATAAACCGGTGACCCCCTGCCCGGGGACCCCACAAAACGGTGACCCCATAAACCAGGAACCCCACAAAGTGGTGCCCCCTTGCCCGGTGACCCCGTAAACCAGTGACCCCATAAACTGGCGACGCCACAAACCGGTGCCCCCTGCCCGGTGACTCCCCCGCCTGGTGACCATACACCCCGGCAGCCCCTGCCTGGTGACCCCACAAACCGGTAACCCCATAAACCGGTAACCCCACAAACTGGTGCCCCCTGCCTGGTGACCCCACAAACCGGTGCCCCTCCCCTTTGCCCGGTGCTCCCCCCCCGCACTCACTGGAGCAGATGAGCGCCATGGTGGCCGGCGGGAGCTGCGGCCCCGCTCCTGGTCCCGCTCCTGGTCCCGCTCCTGGTCCCGCTTTTTCCCGCTCCCGGTTCCCGGTTGGTGCGCGCGGCCCCGAAGCCCTCACGCGGCCACCGCCCCCGGAATCGGAAGCGCTCCCGGCAT